ACAACAAATCTAATTTTACAAACTGGCAAAAATAGTTTAAGAATATTACACTGGTAAGAATTAAAACAATATAAGTTAAGGAGAAAAAATGCTTATCTTCATGCACTCTCACAGCTCCAGCAAACGTTTCCCTTATTATTGTAGTCGCATCTCCAGTTAAATTCTAATTTCCACAGAAATCATTACCATGTAACCTGAAACAAATAATATTATTAAGAAATAGCGTCGTTACTTTAAAAAAAATAAAATTACAGATACTTAAATCAAAAGGATAATATAAATAAAATTGCATCAAAAAGTTGTTAAATATCTTGAACGCCGTGCTTCAAGATGTTATTAAAGTTGACTATTAATTCCTGTATTTTCTTTAAAGAAATACCTGCATTCTCTTATAAATTTTTGCTAAAAAAGATAACTTCAGTTTTAAACGTTCGTATGTGTTGAGTACGGAACCAAATGTTGCTGGTCAAACACTCCTTAAAAATTAGATTTAGAAAACTTATTTTCTAACTACAGTTACAGCAGGAGCGAGAAAGCAAAGTTGTTTTTTATAAAGTAAGTGAATTTGTTTCCATTAAGTAAAACGTAATGAGAAAGTAAATACAAAGTAGTATTGTAAAACAGTATTTTATTAAGAATTACAAAATATTAATTAGGATAAAAGGATAAATTTAAAACAAAATAGCTTTTAAAAATTAGGTAAAAAGTAGAAGTCAAAAATTAGTTTTTTAATAGTTTTCCAAAAAATTGTTTTTCTAATAAATAGTTCAATCACTCTATAAAAAAAAAAGACAAGAGCATGAAAATAAGTTTGATTTTTGTATTATGAATTTTTGCAATTTTTTTTTTTAGGTATAAATTGCGGAATGTTATTAATATTTAACAAATTTTAAACTTTTAACAAGCATTTTTATACATCGATATCATATTTTAAATGCTTTTTCCAAAATCTAAAATAAAATACAGCTCCTTTCTTTTAATTAAATTCTGAATGCGATGTACATATTAGGACTATAAGGATAATATTAAGATTAATTATTTAGGGTGCAGTAAAAAAAATGAGGTCCATTTACTTTATGAAAATAAAGTCAAAATAGCTTGAAAATAACAATAAGTATAACACTTTATTGAAGATTTAACTGCTTATTTTATAGTCTTTGAACACGTAAAAAAAGTAAACTGAAATCCATTAAACTTTAAAACCAGTTTATAAATATATTCCAGTAAAAACTTTGAAAACTTGACCTGATAATTTAAAAAGAATATACTAGATGTAAGAAGTAACGATAGTAAACTTACCTTTTAGGATTGAACTTAGAAAACTTTCAGGGCCCACAAACTTCAATACGAAGGCATATTATTCAATTGCGTTAGCAATACTCGTGGGCAAAGAAAAATGAATCGATGAGCTTTTATATACGTTTTTTAAAAAAAATGTGCGTGAAATCACTTCCGGTCACTTGTGTTTGTTTAATTAGAGAAATTTTATATGTTTGGAACCGGGTCCTCCCATGCCGAGCGGTATCGCCAGCCAAACGGTCTTTTAAACGTGGAGGTGGCGGGTTCGAATCCCGCCGTAACACTGGATGTATTCTTTATGATGTCCTACTCTGTCCTTCTACTTGACAAACGTTTATAAGCCTTAATTAAGCACACAAGCCTGCAAATGTTTATTGTATCAATAAACAATATGCTTAGAACCTCGTCCTTGTGCTAGAAGTATTGTCCTTCTGATAACGCTTGCCCAGCAATGGACTGATCGTAAAGACGTGGCTCCCAGCAGAACACCGAAATCAAGCATTACTGACTGCGGTCAGTAAGCGGGTGGGTGACCACTTTGATCATCGTCCGTAGGGACCGAGGATGCGCGGTATCGGTCCACGTTAAACTGTCCCACCGTAAAGTGCTCGGCTTTGCGCGCACGTCGTTCGGCTACCAAAGAAGGGGAGCCATCCCCTCTGCAGAGGATCAAATTGCGAAGGCACGTCTTCAGATCATCCTCGGGGATGTTTCCCAGATCGTCGCCAATAGCTCATTGTGCAGCTCTAGTGTGACGTAAATCAAATACCTAACTACCTTCTGATAACGCTATGAACAATTCCGTCAAACGCTGTGAACGTTGCGGGCCGTAAGTTCGATATATCTTTGAACTGTACTTCCTTATTAAGTAATTTCTGATTACAAGAATTATCACTTTGTATCGAGCACATATGCACGTACGGTTGAATAAATAATTGGGGTCTTCATGGCAACAAAATAGTGTCAATCCGCTGAACACTTTGAAGTGTGAAGGCGTCGGATTCCTACTCCAACCCTAAATATATATGTCTTTTTTTTTAATCTGATGTCTATTCCCTTATCCCTTAATGCAAATAAATGAGTACACAGGCCTGTATTTATTTATTAATTGCTTTGTGCTGGCTTGTATGCTCTTCGGGCGGCCGGAATAGCTTGGATGGTATAGCGACGGACCCATGTTTGAGAGGTCATGAGTTCAATCCCCGCCATCGGAGACGGGTTGGAAGGAGGTTTTCAAAATGGTGACTAGTGCACGTTAAATCTATCCGGGTCACGTAGTCTACCGAATTCCTATAACAAATCAATACCTGTGGGTGTACTGGATCTTAGATTGATCATGCTCTCGTTCAGGTCAAAATTATAATCTGTGGATGGGTATGTAAATGTGTCTTCCCTGTCAAACAGGTAGTGACGTATGAATGTTGTCTCCCGATCATCCTCAGAGATGTTTCTTACACCGTCGCCAATACCCCATGATGCAGCTCTAGTGCGACGTAAATAAATGCACCTGTATGCTCTTCAGGAAGTACTGCTTATAAGATCTTGTCAATTTGTAGAGCAGATAGATCAAGTAAGAGAAAAACATCAGAAAGATGCATCCAGGATTGTTGCGGAATTCGAACCCGCTACGCCCACGCTGCAGAAGACTTTCCGGAATGGCGAGACTACTCAGAGATGAATAATGTGCATCAATATGCTTCGCTTCAATTGCCAGGGTGGCCGTGAATCAAAGAACTTGATCATTAACAGAAAAAAGTCACGGATTCTTTCTACGAGAGTTACTGAATAGCATCAGCGTTTTGAAAGCACGGAAATTTTAAATCGAGATAAGAAAGAAAAAAACAACAACAATGGTGGTCCAATGATAATTACTGAAGTTACCAGTTGAAAAGTTTATCATTTAGCAAGGGCTTTTAACTTTACATACAAAAAAGCTTTTAACTTTAGAACTAGAGAGGGTCTTATATTTTGCCGGGATGAAATCGGTAACAACTGCTTTTTACTACTAGTCGAAACTTCTTTCGGAAAAGGTAAGTATAGGTACTTTATTTACGTTGCACTGTGGCTGTACAATTGGGTTATTGGCTGGCCTCAACAAGAACTCAAAATTCTGGGAATTATAACAACTGTGCTTACTTAGGTTTGACAATTATGTTTAAATAAGTATTTTTTTTTTAAAATTAAATTACTTTCTTGCTTGAGTAGTAAATATTCAGAGTTTTCGTTGTGGGCGGGTAACAAATATTTAGAAAGCAGATTTTTTTTTTAATTAACAAATGATACAGTAATAATATCAAAATTTAATAATAATATTTTTCTTTGCTTCTCATTCAGATTTTGTCTCTGAAATTGTTTTTTCTTCTCAGTTGCTCTTTCAACTTTTTCTTCCTCGCTTTCTCTCTTTTTTGTTGATAATCTGCAAACTACTTAAGGGGGTTTTCTTCGATTTCTTTCGGATAATTTCATGATCTTCTTCTGCTATTCATTCTCCGGAAAAAAAACTAACGTATAATTTGAATAAATACGGCACTAAAAGTTCAAAAATACATATTTAACAAATTGGAAATATTTATTATTTATGTAATTTAAAATGCTTAATTTAAAAAAAAATAATTGAATTCAATTTTGCTTAATTTCAAACGCAGTATCTACAATCTTATGCTAATTTTATAATTATTTGAATATTAGATTTCTATGATTCTTCTATTCTATTCCTTTTTTTTTATTTAAGTAAAACGAGAAAAAAAATTCTGCCCCTAATATTATATTTATTTAAAAAAAATAATAAAAATTGCTATAAAATAACGCAAAGTTACGGGGATATTTAATTGTTAAAATTTTTTTTTTAAAAATATCAACAGAATTAACTTTAAATTTATTTTCTTAATATACATTATTTACAAATACATTTTACAGAAGAAGCAGCAATTTATCAATCTATAATGAGTTAATAATCAATACGTACTGCCACATGCTCAAATGAGGCTAATTTTGATTAATTAACCGGAATTAGCATAACTAAGTCAAAGAGTTGCTACAATTTATAAATTCTCCTACAAATTATCTATTTTTGTTTAATAGTTTGTTAAGATTACATTTGTGCTCAATTTAAAATGATGTTGTGGGAACAATGTCAATGCTTAAAAAAAATGTCACACCTGCTACAGGAACCCACCCACAATGGTGAATGACCTTAATTAAAATATTTAATAATTTTTGTTTCTGTATTAAAAACTATCTTAATAATAATATCTATTTTTGAATAAGAAATATCTAAACTCTCATGGTAAAAAATAAATTTTCTATGGTGATATAAATGTAACTTTCTATCGTAACGATAATTTTATCAATAGCAATTAAACTTTGGAAAGCATGGGGTAATGTAGGTTTAAAACTACTTTTATAATAAATGCAGCTACATTTTTGTACATAAATTTACCTTTTCTTTGTTGAAATTATATGCAGTATGATAGTATAACATTGGATAATATTTTGCTCTATTCTTACTTTCCATGAAGATTTCTTTTATGAAGATTTATTAAATAAATAGTAGATACTAGTTTACAAGATAAAGATGCATTCATTGCTTTTTTAATTATGCCTAGTGTTTATGAATTTGCAACCTGTTTTGTGTCGTTTAAGTATTTCAAAAGATGATTTTCTATTTAACGAATTTTCCGCATAACGAACTTATTATCGGGATTTAGCGACTTCGTTAAATGGAGGTCTACATCCTACTTACCACACAATAGATCATTATTCAAGTAATGTTTAATTTCGGAGGGGTGTTTTGTACCCCCGAACCCTCCACTGGCTTCACGTTTATTGTGTGGGTAGCACCAAAAGGAAATAATGGTTTAATTGTAACTTTATCTACATCAAATGACAACATATTGGAATGAAAAAGGGAGTCTATATGGAAGAAGACATCGATCGTTGTAATGGAAAGGGTTCGTACTAAAGAGAGAGATCAATGGATCGGCGCATGTGCAGAAGACCCTCCTCTGGAATGGAGAAGAAGAACAAGAAGAAGAAGTCACAGTCATGGGATGCAACGTAAGCAAAGATGTAAAAGTGGAAGACAACAATGGTAAGTACATTGTTTCAAAAAAAGGATTAATTTCTTAAGATTGAGAAAAATTGGCACGTAAAAAACCTTTTCATCCTCCTGCTATAATTGCGTAAATGAAATCCCCGCCAAACTACGAAATTTTCACTATTTCAGACTTGATAGAACAAAATTACGAAATTTTGCTACTGCCCAACTGTGACATTTTTAACTATTTCAAGCGTTCATCAAAAATTAAAAACAAATGTTGATGCGGCTGAAAAAAATGTAGTAATGTTAAGTTTTTTTGGAAGCATTTCTCCAAATATGGTAAACATTAAAAGATTATTTTCTATAATGAATGAAGATTATAAGATACAAGCGCAAAATACTGTAATGTTATGAAATATTCATAATAGCTTCCTTTTTATTAAAAAAAAATAATAATAACCTGGGGGGTGTTTTTTCGGAGGAAAAAGGAAACGAGCACTCAACTGTTCTTTGAATTGTTATTGAGTCGTCCTGTGGCAAACGTTCATTTTGCCAATGTTTAAATCGGGGCAGGAAAAAAAATGTGTTAAAAGAAATTCCAATAATTTACTATTAAAATTATTTTCTGTAAATAATGTGCTTAAATTGTCTTTCAAATCCAAATGTAATTAGCCAAGTGAATTAAAAAAAGATATGCTAATGCATGTCATAGTTCCATAAATAGCCACAGAGCTATACGATATGATTGATATTAATTATATAGAATGATATAAGGATGTTTATGACTGTGCGAGAGAAAATCACCAAATGTCTAACAGGACATCGTATTCCCCTGTTAACGATGTACAAATCGAAATTAAGTAAAATTAAAATATAAGATTGCAATAATTCTCCAGATTTGATTTCATTAATTGACTTCCCCGTTCAATTGAAATAAAATATAAACCAAATCACTTCATCTATAATTTAGTTTTTTTTATTATTTAATTTTCGGTTACTATAAAAACTCTTTAAATGTTTTTCATTAAACTCCTTGCATTTCTTTGCAATTTTAAATAATTATTTTGTTATTGCTTCTGTGAAATAAAAAAAAATTGAATTACCATTAGACTGAGTGATAGGTCGGATTCTCATTCTGTAAAATTCTTTGGTAATATCTCAAAATCCCTTAAAATATGTATAAAAGTTATCTGCAACCATAGTCGTCCAAGAAAAAACGCACTTTTTCTGAAGAAACTTTTTTCATCAAATTTGGATTTGTGCATAAAGAAGGTATACAAATTTTGAAAAGCAGACCTTTAAGAGTTCAACCTGTATAACGGTTCCAAAATTTTTTACTTTAATGTTATGTCACGATTCTCCTCATATCCTTTGAATGATTGGTTAAACTACAATAATTCTTTCACAAAAAAGAACTCGCTGCTAAGACAAATATGTAATTATTTATTAAATAGTTTTTATTCATTAATTTTATGATGAAAAAATAAGTTATAATAAGTTTTATATACTCAAAATTTTTAGAGTTTTTCAAACCTAAATTTGACTTTTCATGACATTTCATAAACAAAAAAAAGTGCTTAAAAATCAATTTAAAAAAATTACGATATAATGAAATTGAAATGAAACATTGTTGCCATCGCCGAATTGCAATACTTCATATGAGTAAACCTATAAATGTAAGTGATAATCATTTATAACTGTGAAATTAAGTAACGTTCATGTTTTTAAAATGTTTGTTAACAGAAAACTAATAGATAGTCATCGTTTTTTAATTCGATATTTTTCTTTTTCTTTAAATTATGTGTTTTAATTTTAGAATTTTATTCCAACCTACTTTATTTAGCACTGGACTATCTAGTAACAGAGTCATTAAAACGTTCTTATCTCATAATTGGGTATAATATAGCCTACGTCACAGGTTGTGTTGTTCCTACTAAATTTAACCCATGAACGGCATTTTCTGCGAGCCTAACTTCAAGCCACAAATAAACAAACGAAATGTTCGATCGTTTAAATAGCTGCTCGCCAGATTTTATTGCATTATAAAGAAAAGTTATTGAAACTAAATACAACTAAAACAAATAACAACAACTACTAATAACAATAACTAAATAAACAACAACTAAATTCCATTCGTTTAGCATTGCGTCATATGTTGTTCCTACTAAATCGAAGTAGTTGTGTTTTTTTCATATTATACCCAATTGTGCTACTGCTTTTAAATTTTAGAGGATTTCTTTTTCAGAACCTAGATCGCGGTCAACAGTTAAGAGATGGGGTCATTTTATTTTTTACTCTAACATTCATGTTAATTCGTGATCAGCTGTTATAATTTAGAGTTTCAGATAAAATGCTAATGAAATACGGATTAAAGCTCTGAAACAAAGATAGGGTTTTTTTTTTATATATATAAGTCGCTGCCGGCTGTAAATTTCGATAATGAATGTGATTCGAAAGGATGGAGTCTTTCTACATTAATTCGTAGCTAGAAATAGACTATCTTATTAAAACATTTCTCCCAGTACTTGATCCAGCAGTTCCCTTGTCTTCTGGATTAGGTTCAAAATGACAAGCCTACGCATTTCATCATTAACAGTCGTAAACCCAAAAGATTGGGTCGGCTGTTCAACGACGGTTAAGATAAAAGAAAAGCTCACATTTAACCATCTGTCCTGTCTCCAGTCTTCCAATAGATTGTTCTTCGGATGCGTCATTGTTACAAACTGGCTCTCTTCAGGGCCAGGATAGCCTGGTCGGTAGGGCACTGGCCCCATGTTCAAGAGCAGCTGTTCAACGACGGTTGCGTAAAAAAAAACAGCTTTCTCAAATTTCTAATTTCAGATACACAGCGAAATTAGCAGGTTTGCAATTAAACACGCAATTATATGCTCAATGCTGTTACTGTTATTTTTTCATTTTCCCTTAATTTATGATAACTAAATAAATTTAAGAGATCTAATTTAGGTTTTAGATATTAAGCCTTTACCTTTAGATGTTACCTTTTTTGTGGCCGATTTAGACTAAATCATCACGGTTGTAGTTTAAGGGGTACATTCGTCCCTAAAATGACATTTTGAGGATAACTAAGTTTTGACAAATCGATAAAAGGGGAAATCGGTTCGTTCCGAGAGTCATTACGCAGTGAAGATAGGCCACTCTGTTGAAAAACGGTTCCTGCCTGCCTTGAATTTCGTTTCTTTTCTTCTCAGAATCACTTTGCATGGACATAAACCACCCTTGAATCCTCATTTCGGGTTTTTACATTAAATGTTCCACTAAAACCATTCAAAGTTTATTTCTGTGTTATTTAAAGCAGGATAACAATAATTGGTTTAAACGACCGTGGTTTCGAAAATCGTTTTTTTTTTTTTTTGTTTATTTACAATATTTTTAAATGTAAATACAGAAGTATATGGGACAAACGAATACTTCAGTATATGGGAAGATTTCTGTTCGAAGAAATCTTAGAAGATATCTATTAGCAGATTTCTGCAGAAATTTTCTAACGCCTAAGTAATTTATTACACGTTCAACTATTTTTTTATTTTACAGATAACTGAAATAGAATTGCATTTATGACAGTTATGCACTGTGCTGTGACATTAGAAAATTTAACAAATATTATTTTATTTTATTTTATAACTGTCGTTGAACAGCCAACCCAATTTTGGGTTTACCACTTCAAATGTTCAACTCCGTAACCTTGTCATTTTGAACCCAATCCAGAAGACAAGGGAACTCCTGGATCAAGTATTGGAAGAATTTCCTTCGTGGAGGACTCTTTTGATGGAACCAAACCATATTTGCATTTTATAGAGAGGAAAACCACGAAAGCCTCCCACCGTTAGCCTGACGGCAAGGGGACTCTAACCCGACTACCTCTGAGGATATGTAACGTCAGCATTGTGGTTAACTACAAAATTTACGTCAAAACTGCGTGTGCCATCGCTGGGATTCGAAACCGGTTTACTTCATTGGATTCACTTCATCGCGGCTATATTAGGAGTTCCGCATTCTTGGTATTTTCGGACATTATAAAATAAGAATAATCATTTGTTACTAATTTATGCTCTTTCAAAAAAAAACAAATTCGTTCAAACGAATTTTGACTCCTTTCTGTCCAATTTTTAAAAGTTGCCGTCCTTTTATATCATATTTCAGTACACGTAAAAATAGAAATATTTCAACACAAAACGTAAAATAAAAGAGAATTTCTTGGAGGAAGGATATGAAACAGTCGGGGAGGGGGGGGGGGCGGCTCAGCTTCAATGAGCAGAGTCAGAACTAAACGGTAGTTGAAAAAAAATACAGGATAATTGAAAATGAATAGAGCGATTACAAACGGCTATAATTATTGAATGAAAGAAAATGTATCGATAAAATGTACACAGAATGTAGAAGGATCTTGTATACAATGTGTCACAGATTTTCTATATGACCTCCCTTGGTCACACGGACAACATCTAGGTTAGGGGTGTCAAACTCGCGGCCCGAGATGAACATTTTTGTGGCCCAGTCAATATATCCGAAGCAAAGTAAAGATAAAATAGAAATTTGAATTAGAAACGAAACTAGCATATAAAATTATAATATACTTTATTTATAAACCATACGGATCATTTTAAATTGTCCGCTCGAAAATGTAAAATTCTAATGGGCTGAAATGGAGTCCGTTTCACACTAAGCTATCAATTAGATAGCACATAATCAGGTTTATCCTATTATAGCGAGGTAAGTTGGTTATCTTGCCCCAAGGTTCTCAATCATATCTGGGATTTGAAAGAAAAAATATGTAAGTTTTTACAAACTATAAATCAAGATACAAGCTTGTTCCCCGATCAAATATGGTTGCAAGATTTATCTTTTATGGTTGATATAACCAAACACTTATTAAATTTATTGTTTCAAGGCAAGGATCAGATCATTACGAACATGTTTGACGTAATTAAAAAAACATTCAAATGTAAACTATTTCCTTGGAAAAGGTAACTGAAAAATGAAGATTTAACGCACTTCCCAACGTGCAACAAGAACAAATCTAGTTTAGATGA